AATGCATAGAAATCTTGAAAGTAATGTTATTGCCTATATACTTTCAAATTAAGCAGCAGGTCATAAAATAATTTGATAATACATAGCTTATCACATTGGTTGCGAAATTAATCAATTACGGTCGGGTTGCCAAAACAACACGCTTATATTTAATATAACTACTGAAATGTTTACATGATATACAGGTTTTTTTGTTTTTTTTTTAAGCTTAAGGGGGGAGGGGCGTTAGAGTAATATTCTTATTTATAAAAGAATACTTATATTATACACTGATATAACACATATCATACTTATTTCATATATGCAATCAGATATTGAATATCTTTACTAGAAGCCGAGTTATGGAAGATCAGTCTGATTTGATTACCGTAAAATACCGGACAAGCGCCCACTCAAAATTTAGAGATAATCGCGAAAAAATGGGGGATGGGCGCTTGGCCGGTCATCAATTTTACATATAAATGTACTGTGCATATTTTCTCAGATCTTATGAATTTGGGGATGGGCGCTTAGTGTGGAATGGGCGGATGCGCGGTATTTTACGGTTGGCACTGGGATGCATGCGTGAACTAGCCATAAGTGCGAAGGTAAGTGCTGGAACTTGTCTTTGCTGTATCCATGCCCTCGGTAACATGAGAATGTAGTTCAGAAAATACCTATTCTGTAAACCATTGGGTGGGCATCAGACATGTATGTAATGTGCTACTAGTAATGAGTTACTTCTACCTAGTTAATTTTTGTTTTTGTAACGAGTACTTACTTTTGAGGCCAAGTAATGAGTAACGGTATCTCATTACTTTTGAGGAGTAACGTGTACAACACCGTTTAAACAGTCTGGTTTTAATTCTAACCTGAGTATGTGCCTGCAGGGAATATTCATTAATGCTGGTGTGCACACAGCAGGTGTGCTGTGTGCACACCTGCTGAGCACGTGCTGATAGCTAGCTTCCACAGTTCTTTTGCAACGTGCATTCTGCACCATCAACATTGCCGATCTTAGCAGCCTTTTAATGGGAGCTCGTTCTGGCCATGCACTCTAAACATGGCTTCAAATATGGCGTCTAGTGAATAGCCCCATTACGAAAAAGGAAGGTGGGCAACCCGAAAAACAACAACAGTATGACTACAGTGTACTAGAATACTTGGGTAGTGTTGGGACCGAAGGGGCTCGCCTGAAGCGCGTGGTATTGATCGCGACAGGTGTCGCGTCCGGCGCCTTATCCGGAAGGTGTGCGCATGCGCGGCTGCACGCGTGAAAATATGAATCTTTGGTGCCGCTTTGGTGGAGTGCATGTAGGATTTCTGATACAGCTACGACCTGCCAGCGGTCGTACCGCGGCATCAATTACGCAGTGGCACGATCGTTAGCAACATGATGCTTCAATGTATTGGACGGTACAAGCTACATTACCCTTCCTTTACATAAAAACAGTTGCGACTTTAAAGGAGCGGTTTCGGTTTGTCGGATGGTGAGCATTTTAAATGAAATGCCCATTTCCTTGGTCTCAAATGCCGAACATTAGATATTTGAAAGAAATATCTAAAACTCGGAAGCGTTTTTTTTTTTTTTTTTTCCTATCTTACTTTATAACGGAACGAAGCAGCACATACTAAAGTTCGAGATTGTTTTAGTATGTTTTTAATACCCCAGGTTAACTTCTCTGTCTTCTTTTCTGCCCGTCTTCTTTTTCTTGACCTTAATCAGCTCGCTTCACTTGTCACTCATTCTTGTGTCCATTTATGCGACGAACCACCCAAGCGACGGTCGCATTGGGGTGAGAATCTTCTATTTCTTCGTGGCTGCCACGACCATCCGAGAATCACCCGACGTTCACTTGTAAGAAATGGCTTATAAGCCGTGACAATTTTTATCACGCGTTTTAACATTTAACTTAAAGGGCAACTCCGCTTCATTTTTGATATTTAGAAAACTATGTAGCCCTCTTCAGTATCATATAGGAAGACCCCATGTCAAATATTACGATCTAATTCCGTTTATATATTTAACAAACTGGCCAGCAAGCCTTCAAGCAAGCCAAGTCGCCGAAATCTGCCAACTCTAGCGTGCGGTGCGAGGCGCAATCACCAGCGCAGTCAAGGCCACGGAAATGGAGCGGCCAACGTTGAGCCACTACGTCAGAGGCATGCATACGTCATTCTCACGTTTTGTTTGTTTTTACTTCTCAGAGCGAAATTGAACGATAACGTCATGAGCTTCTCCTCCCGGTGTTGGCTGACCGGGCGTTCACGTGATCACCGTAACACGGATGCGCCTGGGATGCGCTGCCCTGCGCGCTTATCGGTCTGTTTCTCCGCTCCTTTTCTCCTCTTTCGTCTTCTCCCCTTTCCCCTCGCCCCCGGGCCATCACCGTCCACGCCATGCAAAGCGACCTGCGCGCGTCGAATAAAAAAAAAAAAAAAGAAAAGACCTCGCTCAGTTTCTTGCTCCCTCCCGAACGTCACAAGACCACGTGGTTCGACGTGACGTGCCATGACTCTGACGACCCGAGACCAATGTTGCCTGACGCAACCAAAGTTTCGGTTTCGGTATCTGCTGATGTTTAAATTAGGATTACACAAATAATATTCCACATTTCGCGAATCCGAAGACGTAGAGTTGTTTAGTAGTGCTTTGTGAATGTGAATTACATGGAAGCCTAAATGTTTCGGAATTGAGCGGAGTTGCCCTTTAAGTCCAAAAACTGAGACAATGTGGGCTGAACAAGTAATGCTTTATAAGATTCAAAGAAAGCAAGAAACTATTTCACATCATTTTGAGCAGAAAACATGAGCACACGTAGATCAGGCAAGGAAAAAGTTGTAATAGTTTACAGCACGGCATTGAAATATTGGCTACAATGTGCAGCGCATACATGGTTACAATATGCAGCGCATTATCCTCTTGAGGGTAAACCATCTGAAACCTACACGCTCACAACAATACATTTAACCGACAGCTGCTTTCTGACAACCAGGTAAGTCTCGCCTGAGCTGGGTATTCGAAGGGAAACACCCATGGTTCCACAGGGGGCGTATCTGGTTCACGCAGACATTCAGGGGGTTTTTGTTTTATTCTTTACAGAACTTTACATATTTTACAAAAAAAGAATGTGGCAGATATGTGGATGCCGTCTTTCGTTATATCTGTAGGGTTTGGTGGACAATGAATGGGTGTATAATAACCGTTGCAATGTTTAATAATGAACCAAGATCTGTTAGTTAACTTGTTTATTAACGGCTTAATTGGCCATGGTGCAATTGCAGTTTTAAAAGGAGTCATTATTAAAGGCAAATACAATTTCGACAATTCGCGAAAAGGCAACGAGGTTCGCTAAATTAATCATAAAGGTTTGCCTTTCTTCGCTTGATTCAGAAACCGCGTTATGAAAATAATACGTAGAATAGTAACTTAGTCGTCTTGATCTGTGGCGCCGGCGAGTCCACCGAAGAAACGCTGTCGATTTAGTGACGAGGGGACAGAAACATCCTGCGTCATTCTTCTACGCATCAATATCAGCACAACCTCATTCGCGCTTTCAGCGCGCAGTTTTTTTAATTAAGTGAAGAAAGGCAAAATTTTAGCGATGAATATCTCGGGACAGAACGAGCGGGTTGGTAGAGATAATTAAGCTTGAGGAAGAAACGAAAATGGATGGACAAACACAATAAAAACGAACGCCTTGTTACTTTCGCTCAAAGCTCGTTGTTTGTTTGCGAACTTTTAAATCAAGTTGGCCTTAAATGATGGCTCCCTTTAAAGCTGCAATTGCAACATGGCCCATCAAACATTTCATTAACCCTTTGCCTACCGCAAAAATTAAAAAAAAAAAAAAAATAATAAAGATTTGAAAATACCGATTTTTTTTACGTGCCCTATACTCTGTTTCACCTTGTGTTGTACCGCAGGAAAGGCTACAAGCGCGAGCTCCTTGCTTTAGGGCACATCTCGGCGGCACGAGCTCCCGTGCACCAAGGGCAGCTGTCAACGCTTTGAGCTCGCGCTCCTAGCTTTCGCTACATGCACCGCTCAAGGAGAAAAAAGAAAAAAAGAAAAAAAAAGTCGGGCTGTGCGAGCCGGATAACTCGACTACAGCGCCGCCGCAAACTGCCAATACACGCGTCCTCACGAGCTCCCGTTGCCGAGCCGCTCCGGTCCCAACACTACCCAAGTATTCTAGTACACTGTAGTATGACAGATAGCAACATTTCTTGTTAAACATGTCAGTCAAACACTACAGCTGGGAATGTCCTTCACCCAGCAAACACAATAAGGTTATTTCGTCTAACCTTCTAGAATCGTGTACAGACCGAATGTAAACCCAGAGATTACCAACACGGGAAAGCACAGAACCCATTGTCACCTTCAAACTTTAGGTGCCGAGAGAACAAAAGTGAAAGGGAAATCCTTGATTCCCCAGCTCTTTCTGAAGCACAACGCTGCCACTCCTTTGGGCGCGTCAGTAGGAGTAGAATGACTCTTCAGCGTTACCGGAGATGTATTCTCAAGAAAGCGGAGAAACAACTTATGAAAACTTGGAGGCAGCTACTGCTTAAGTGCAATGACTACTGAAAAGAAAACAATAAAGCATGAAACAAAAGCAGTTGTGTATTTGGTCGTCAAAGGAACGAGAAAAGTAAATTGCTTCATTTGGAGGTAAAGTAATGCATTCTTTTTGAGAATCAGTAACGAGTAACATATTTAGTTACTTTTTAAGCGAGTAACGAGTAACGGTATTTAGTTACTTTTTTGCGGTAACGTGTACATCTCTCATGGGTATAAATCAAGCGAGGTATAAATCGCTTTATTTTAACCCTGTAGAAGTAGATTATGCATCAACTGGCCCTTCCGTGAACACTGATGTTGGGGATTTCGGTAAAGCTGTTGCAGAGGCTTCAAGGCCTGTGTATTGGAATGTATCCTGCTTTTTCGGATGGTTTGTCGTACAGTTGGTAACGCGCTCGACCTTAATGCCGTTTATTCATTTTCCGCTCTCGTCCAGGAGAGCAAGGAGGCACCGTACCAACAGGAGGAGCTGGTGGCAACCTCCCAGGACGGTTTCATCGAGGTCTTCATCTCCACCCTGGAGAGTCCGTCTTCCTTCTGGGTCCAGCTGGTCGGCACCCAGTCGACCACACTTGACAAGCTGGTCACGGATATGACCAACTTTTACGGGCAAGAGGCGAATCGGGACTCCCACCCGGTAGCCTCACCCTCGGTTGGAGATGTCCTCGCATCACGCTTCGTCCAAGACGACTCCTGGTACCGAGCCCGCGTCATCGCCGTCAAAAAGAGCGACTACTCCGCCGACGAAACCGAGGTCAAGATTCACTATGTTGACTTTGGCGAGACCGGCAAGTTCAAGGTGAAAGAACTTTGCACCCTTGCTGAGGAGTATCGCTTGCTCCCGTTCCAAGCCATCGAATGCTCTCTGAGTGGTGTCCAGCCGAAGGATGGGACCAAATGGAAAGACGAAGCGATCGACCTGTTTGAATTGCTCACTCACGCAGCCAAGTGGAAAGTGATGATGGCCAAAGTAGTGGGTCGCAGCAAGAGAGAGGACGGCGGGCCGGGTTTTATGTACCAGCTGGAGCTCATGGACACAAACGGTTCGGAAGACATAAACGTTGCGAAAGAGTTGCTCAGACAGGGGTTCGCTGTCCCGGCCATGTAATTTAACGGTAATCGTGTTAGGAGACCCGACTAGTACTTTTTTCGTTGCGAGCGTCGCAGCCTTGTTTCTGAACTTTAAGCTTGGTGCGTTGGTGTTTAATAGTGGCATTTATTTGGTTCTTGGGAGCTGTTGGTCTTCCTCTTCTGTAAATTATATGAGCCTATTTGCTGAGTGAAAACCCACAGAATTTGTTGTGTATATTGTTCACTAGTGATACTTTGCAGCAATAAAACAATGTGTGTTAGCATTGTGGCCAATTTTTGCTACTTCGAAACTAATTCAGTACCTCTAAGATATCTTCTACCTACTCAATTCTTGGGGCAGAGGTGAGTGTGATGTTCCAAGACAATTTTATAAGTGCATCCCTTTTCTTACATACATTTAGTATAGCTAGATTTTAATGTAATCTGATCTTTTGGAAGAGTTATGTCTCGGAGATGGCATGGGTGTCAGTTTTTCGTTTATAAATGTCCAAAGCCTAGGTTTTCAGATTTTAAAGTTGACTTTTATATAGCTGGCCACATGAAAAAGTCTGTGCATCCATTTCCTCATGGAGTGCACACAGAACCAATCAATACTTTTAAACCAAGGTTCTCTTAGGACTTTTAGGAACATGGACAAAATGAAACTGCCTTTAAACGGATGCTTTAAGTAGCGTGAATGTATGTTTTTTTCGATAATATCTTAGTACTTGAAGCGGCTTTTACCCTCAACGTGCCTGCCCACCTACTTTGGGCTCACGGCTAGAAGAATGTTCAAAATAAATAAATAAAAATAATTGAATTATGTGACACCCGTAACCATGCTTTCGAATGGTGTGAGAACAGTGGTTTAGATGGAAAAGTACTGCATCGTGCAAAGCTTTCAGAGTGGAAGGAGGCTCTTGTAGTGACCATGGTTAGCTCCTAATGTTTACATGAATTACATTATTTCAATGAATTGAATATATCACAAACCTGCTGGGGGTCGGCTCGCTCGTTCGTTCGTTCGTTTCGTGAACTCTGGTCTCCTCGTCTTGATCTTTGTGGGCGATCAAGCACCCAAGTACTCTCCCTCTCCTCGTTCCCACCCCCCTCCCTCCCGAAAAAGATGAAGGTTTCTTTTTAGAGCGCAGCTTTTTGAGTGGCGTCGCCATCGTCGACGTAATGGCATGTTACATTATGGGATGTTTCCTATAATGACCACATGTGACGTCACGAGGAGGGGAGGAGGAGGAGGTGAGATGCCAGCTACCCGTTGTGCAGGCAAGGGCTATCGCTATTCGTAAATCACAGGGAGGCACGTATGAAAACGTGGTGTACTTGTGATACCTGCCAACTCTTCCGAATTTTTTGTAAAATGTATGAATTGGGACAAATTTTTCGATTTTACAAATTTTGCTTTAAATTGTACGAAAGAAAAATATTTGTTTTGTAATCTTTTTTTTTTTTAATTGCTGCTGGCGGTACTTTTCACAGCCACAAGAGGTCGATAGGTGCTGTCCATGGCAGCACTGTGGTTTTTACTAGGGGTGTCGCAAACTTTTGTCGAACCAGATTTTTAGGTCGAATTTTCGGGGTTCGACTGGTCGAACCGGTTCGACAAACCTTCGACCTTTTCACCAGATTCGACCGGTTCGACTTTGTGGACAGTGTGGCCAGACCTTGATACAAGCATGTCTAGGTTTGGAGAATTTTTTTTTATGAAAAGGCTTTTCTTTTATATACAGTTGCAATTAAAAGAAACTAATTCTAATCATTGAAGAAGTTGATAACTTAATTTTTTTTGTACTGTATTAACTGAAATAATCAATCAGCGCTGCCATTAATTCATCCCTTAGCCATCACCATCCAATCCGAAGCCAACTGGCCAGACTGTCGCGCATGCGCACACGAGTCGAACCTCAATACAAGGTTCGTCGAATTTTCCACTAAAAGTTCGAAAAAGTCGAACCTGGTCGACCTCGAACCCCGGCCGGTTCGCGACACCCCTAGTTTTTACTATTCGTCTATCCGGTGGCCACGGATCCAAAACCAATCCAAAACCCAAAGCCTTTGTTCATGTGCTCGGCGGCGCACGTTGGACGTTGGTTTGGCGTGTTGGGCCCAAGGTGGTTATATTAAAACCTCTGGAGTGGCGGTCTCCCGATCTCCCATGCGACCGGGTGAAGCCAGTTTTGCCGGTCGGCGGCCATCTTACTAAAGGTGAAACGAAGCGGCGTTCGAAGCGGCAGTAGCAGTGCTCCATTGCTTTTGGGGCTGATTAAAAGAAAAACAAAACTGATTTTTATTTATTTGTTTTGGAGGACTCAAAAGCCGCTTAAGGCTCGTTTTCTATCTTTAGTAAAATCCGCTTTCTACCTTTAGTAAGATGGCGGCGTCGCCGTTTTTGGCGTCAGCTCCGCAGCGCCACCGCCACTCCAGAAGTTTTAAAATATAACCTCCTTCGTTGGGCCTCGCTGTTTCGGCCAGTTTCGTGGCAGTGATGTTCCATGCAGGGAATTTTCCCTTTTTCAGGGAATTTCCAGTGTGAATTTCGGTGAAAAGGGAAATGGGAATTTTAACACGTTTCCAGGGCATTTTAAGGATTAACGAGGGAATTCGGGAAAAGCTTTAGAGAGGGAACTAAACACAAAAAGTGTCGTGTGGTCCAAAAGTTTTAAGAGAAAGAAAGTTGTGGTGCAGGAAAAGGGTGTCTGAACGACTCTTTTTCAACTAGGTATAGAAAACTTGCGTTTAAAGAGCCCCTGAAAAGAAAAAAAAAGTGTTTTTAAACAATCTGGTTGGGACACGCGTGTCAAAAGATAAAATTTATGCGAAAAAAAAAAACCCTTACAGAGCAATCTTGGCAGCGGGAGATTTATTTGAAATTCTGAGCGCGAAGTTCATGACGTCACGGAATGGTAATTCGCCCTTTCCACCTCAACGTGAAGGCGATCCACCTCTCCTCCATGCGCCCGAAATGCCGAGAGAGAAAACAAACGGAAAGGAGGTGCCTGCCAACTAAATCGCGTCACGCGTCGTCAATATTGGTCTAAGAGAATCGCGTAAAATTAATTTTTTGACACGCGTGTCCCAACCAGACTGTTAAAAAAACATTTTTAAGGGGTCCTTTAAAGGAGAACTCCGCCGACATTTTGGGCTACCTAATCTAAAGGCATAATTAATCTGAATGCGGATGGCTTCCTGATTCCGAAATGCTATGTCGCTCTCCCAAATTCACTCTAGTTAATTAAAAAAGTGATATTTTGTTTGCTGCCGAAACCGAAACATCGTTCTCCCTAGTTTTTCCCCAGTTTTCCCCGCCGCCCAAGCGTGACGTCACTTGTGTGCAGCGAGGCGCGCGGCCGGCAATCGGGTACGCTGGCGCCCGCCTTTCTAACGTCTAACAGCAAAAGAACCTGGCCGTTCGTGCTGCTTCAAGCTGATAATGATCTATATTTGCACAAAGTATGGCCTTGGCCTACGTGCCTAACTATAAGAAAGTAAAAAATAAAAGAAAAACGGAAGCAATTGGAATTTTCATAAAACCGTTTTTGCAACTCGCTATGCTCAAGCCGCGGCTCGCTAGTTTCGTAATATCGCCAGCAAACCCGTTCTCCTTTTATTAGAAAATGGCTGGCGAAGAAAGGTCGAAGAGTCATGCAATACATTTTTTGACGAATTGCCAAAGCACCGCGGAAAATGCTCGGAATGTGGGTACAGATGCCGCACACGCTCGTATGACCTGAAGGAACCTGCCATTTGTTTTAGATCTCCTTTTGAAAAGTTGCTGTTGCAGGCGTCAGCACGTGTAACTACTCGTGTGGCATGAATATGCTCCTTGGTGCTTGAGTAATTTAGCAAAACATCTGTAGACCATTTCTGAAAAGCGCTTCTGGTCGATGCCATTTTCAGCGTTCGTGCGTGTGGCGCGTACATTGCTCGCCTTCCAAAGCGATGAACATGTTCGTGCTGGGTTGGGACCTAAGACATGTAGACTGAGATTTTCGTAAACAATGAAATGTATAGAATAGAATAAACTGCATTCAAGATCAAATGGCAGGTTACTGGTCATGAAGATCGTGTTAAAATGACGATTAAAAGAACTTCGCAACCACCAAGCCAAACATCAAGGTGCAATGGAATTCATTCATTCATTCATTTGTTTATTTTCTGTGCTCATGTACAGCTTGACGCCTTGGTAATGATGCACAACAAAATTTTCACAGGTTAGTTACAACAGTCTTGAAAGCTACGAAATTTGGGTTAAAAACATCAATATCTGCTCCTCCGATGGTATAGACCATTCCATTTAGCGCTCCCTGGCCGGCACCATTTTGTTCGACAGCAGCGCCCTCTCCACACATCCGGAAAGTTCAGCGGGTTCGGCGGGGTAAAACGAGAGAGAGGGCACGCGCCCGACTCCGCTAGCAGACGACAAACCGGGAGGTTGCCGTTCTCCATCTTTGTGCTGTATCGGCGGGCTCTACCGAACATCGAACTCTCGCTCGTAGCTGCCGTCGTGAAGTTGTTCGCGTTCTTGGAATAGTTGTGGCTACTCCAAAATTATCCTATAGCTCTATGTTGTTCTATTTTGCTAAATGATCAACTGGCATATATTTTTTTCCGTTACTTAAATAGCAGTTGAGTCAGCCGGCAGTACTACCCTCAACTACTGCTTGTATTGCGGCAGGAGAGCACGTTTTATTTATTATTTCAGACTTCCACTCATGGTTGCTAAAGGCCCACACCAGTACGAACTTTTGTACAGTAAAAAAGGTACAGCAACCGGATTTACCCTTCGCCAAAGAGACCGGCCAATCTGACACAGTTTTCCCTGTTTTTTTTTTTTTTTTTTTTTTTTTATTTGCACGCAGGTAACAGCGCAATTGGACCCTGTGGGTCTTTTTATCTAGCATAATATTACACGACAACTGGCATACCAAAATCTGCGCATCTGCTCTTGGAAGTTCCAAAATGACGCGATTTTAAACATAGTTTGCACGCCAGCCGGACGCTAGCTACAGCCCACTCGGCGGAGCGGACGAGATGCGGGGTGAGAGGGGGAGTGCATTTTTTTTCTCTTTTACCCTCTCTGCTATGACCCTAATGGAACGGTCTATTGTGGAAGTGTTGAATACAGCTCATGGGACTGGTTTGGAATCCGTATAAAATACACAAATACACTGTTCATCTCAAAATAAAGAATATTTGCTTGAAGATACAATAGTGCGTGAGGTACAGAAAGACATCATAAATCTTTGAATTAAAAACATGTTAAAAAACG